CATTGCTTTGGTAACCTTGCTGTCTTGTTCAAAGGAACATGAATAATCTGTAATGACAGGACAATCCTTTCACATGTAGGCAAATAGCAAGGCAAATAAATACTATAATATTCCTTTAACTGCCATTTTGAGTAGTGCTCCATGTAATGTTACAGGTCAAAATTATTATGTTCAGGTTGAAATTATTTAACCTAGGTTGATTCTATATTTTCTTTGTCTCTTATCCCTAATTATTCATGAATTAGGGCTAGGAAACAAAGGAAATTGAGAATCAACCTAGGTTAAATCAAAATTAACTTGAAATCAAATTTGACCTGTAACATAAATGTACATGTACAAGCCTGGCGGTCTTCTTCTTTGCACGAACTGCACGAGCTATGCACCAGCTCTTCGACAGAGAAGTTCTTTGTCTGCCTTTCCTGCTTGAATTGGAATTTGAAAATGATGGTTTTGGGGGAGAGGGGAAAACTGGAGTACATGTAACTGGAGAAAAATCTCTTGGAGCAAAGGAGAGAATCAAGAACAAACTCAACCCACTCACGGCGTTGATGCCAGGATTTGAAACCGGGCCACATTGGTGGGAGGGGAAGGGCTGTCACCAATGTACCATCCCTTGCTCCATACTAAACAATTGTTCGATGAGGTTTTCCTGATAATATGCGGAATAATCAAGGTCGAGGTAAGTGTTATCAGCCCAGCTGAAGGCTGAGGCTGATAACACCTACCGAGACCTTGATTATTTAGGATAACACGAAAACCAAATCTAATTTGCAAGCGTGTGTTTGTCATTATTTTCTTCAAAACAATGTGTAACATACAATGTATAACAATGTATGATATCCATTGTTTTGAAGAAAATAATGACAAACACCTGAAACACCGGAACCTGAATTGATATTGTTATAGGAAATCATGCATTGCACGCCCAACAAACAGCATCATGTCATTTCCATGGTTAGTACACTTTTATCAAGCACTGCTCTCAACCAAACAGCACATGAGAAATCACTCAGTTATGGTAAAAACATACTTTGACCTGGGCTATAGACAGGTACTATGGCAAAATAAGATTGACAGGAGAGGAAAGCAATGTTATGTTGAAATTCTAACCTGAGTCTGCATATCAAAGTAAGAGCATCGTTCCTCCCTTCTTTGCTGGGCTAGCTGTGCATTAAAT